AAGCAATCTTGGGAGATGGAGCAGCTCCCCCTCCAACACACAGAAGGTGGTTGACAGCCTCAGTTGTGCATATTTCCCTCTAGGACTGTGTAGAGGAGGGTGTTTCCATTCCCTCCACTCAGGTCTCAGGTTACACTGAGCTCTCCTCTCTATACTCTGCAGTGTGTGATGTCATACACCTTAAAAAGCCTTTGCTCTGTGTGTTTTAGGAGGCTCTAAGGGAGAGAGGGCTGCATATAAACAGGTACAACCTATGTAGGAGGATTTGTATCGTCTCTGTGTATCACCTGAGGCCAGTCACTTCATTGTGTATATGGAAGGGTTTACAACCACTTTAAGGTGCTGGAGTTGTACGTATCTCAGCAAGGGTGCAACGACAGACCTAGAAGACCAAATGTCTACTGTGGGACACCAGGGGCAGGGGGAGCCTAGTCAGGATTTGAAAAGGGACTGAGAAATTGCCAGCTCCGATACTGAGGATATTCTGCTCTCATGTTGATCCGTCTATAACCAATGAATGAACATATATATATATATTCATTGGTTATATGCAGGAGGCGCCATGGTTGGGAATCGTACCCATGACCCATTTACTGCAAGGCAGACGTTTTAAACACTAAACCACTGTGATATATATATATGCGGCACAGTGGCTTAGTGGTTAGCACGTCTGCCTTGCAGTAAATGGGTCATGGGTACGATTCCCAACCATGCGACTCCTGCATGGAGTTTGCATGTTCTCCCTGTGCTTGCGTGGGTTTCCTCCGGGTGCTCCGGTTTCCTCCCACACTCCAAAGACATGCTGGTAGGTTAATTGGCTCCTGTCTAAATTGTCCTAGTTTCATCCCTGGCCATGTGGGATCTCCTGCATGGTGGGGGTTGGGGAAAGACCTGGCAACCTACCCTGTAAAAATAATTGCTAAGAGAATTCATGGAAAAAGTCGCTTGCGAGTGACGGTCCATGCAATCGCCAAGGGTCGGATACGACTGAATGGATAGTTAGATATAGATATATACATATGTGTGTGTGTAAGTATTTTTCTTTGGATAATTTCTGTACACTGTTGAGCACTGTTTGAAAAAAAAAAACAATTTTTCTGAGTAAATGTTGATCCGTCTGCCTTATCGGGTTTGTTCCAGCCAACCACGAAGGAGAAGCTTCTCTCCTTTGACATACAACGCTGGCTCGGCACAGCAGTGGCTCACGTGTCTCTGAGCAGCCTGGATAATACATGCAGACTGTGGGGAGATTCATTCAGATTGCCAGGCTACGAATTGTAAGTGTTCACCTACAGTAGCCACCAGTTGTAGGACATGTTTAGTCATTTGCACAACAACAAAAGAAAAAGAAAAAAATGTTTCCTCCCTACCTTCTAGATGCACTAAATTGCCCCCCCCCCTCCCCAACAGGTTCTGTATCATTGTGGAAAATGAGGTATACTGTAGTCCAGGAAGGCGTATTGTATAAATATAATGTATTGCAGGATATTAGGTCATAAATATTGAATTATAAACTTTTTTTTTTTAGTTTTGGATAGAATGGAGAGGGATTAGAGCCCCTGTCAGGCACTCTTCATGCACTCCCATGGAAGTCTATGGGCTAAAATCACACATCCCACCAAAAGAAGCGCCCACACCTTTTAACAAGTTATGAAGAAGCGTGTTGCTTAGGTGTGAATGGGCCCCATGGACAGTAACGGGATTCATCTTGTCATGTGTTGTTTGAGAAATTGAGCAAGTCTCAGCCTGTTATCAGCTGACAATGCAAGACAAGAGAGCAATCCCAGTACTGTCTTTGGGGCCCATTCCAACCTATGCAACGGGACCAATATGAGGCCTATTCACATCTATACTTATGCAATGGGGAGCAATATTGGGCCCATTCCCACCTATGCAACAGAGACTAATATTTGGTCCATTCATACCTATGCAAAGAAGAACCAATATGGGGCCCATTCACATCTATGTAACGGGACCAATATGGGGCCCAGTCACGCCTATACAACAAGGACCAATATGGGGCCCCTTCACACCTATGCAACGGAAATCAATATCGGGCCCACTCACACCTAAACAACAGCAACCAATATGGGACCCATTCACACCAATGCAACAGGGACCAATATGGAGCTCATTTGCACCCATGCAACTGGGACCAATATGGGGCCCATTAACACCTATACAACAAGGATCAATATGGGGCCTACTCACATCTGTTCAGCTGGGACAAATATGGGGTCTATTCACACCTATTCAACTGGGACCAATATGGAGCCTATTCACACCACGGCAACTGGGACCCATATGGGGCTTATTCACACCTATGCAACTGGGACCAATATGGGGCCCATTCACGCCTAGGCAACTGGGACCAATATGGAGCCTATCCACACCTATGCAACTGGGAACAATATGGGGCCTATTCACACCTATGCAACTGGGACCAATATGGGGCCCATTCACGCCTAGGCAACTGGGACCAATATGGAGCCTATCCACATCTATGCAACTGGGAACAATATGGGGCCTATTCACACCTATGCAACTGGGAACAATATGGGGCCTATTCACACTTATGCAACTGGAACCAATATGGAGCCTATTCACACCTATGCAACTAAGAACAATATGGGACCTATCCACACCGATGCAACTTGGAACAATATGGGACCTATCCACACCGATGCAACTTGGAACAATATGGGACCTATCCACACCTATGCAACTGGGAACAATATGGGGCCTATTCACGCCTAGGCAACTGGGACCCATATGGGGCTTATTCACACCTATGCAACTGGGAACAATATGGGGCCTATTCACACCTATGCAACTGGGACCAATATGGGGCCCATTCACGCCTAGGCAACTGGGACCAATATGGAGCCTATCCACACCTATGCAACTGGGAACAATATGGGGCCTATTCACACCTATGCAACTGGGAACAATATGGGGCCTATTCACACTTATGCAACTGGAACCAATATGGAGCCTATCCACACCTATGCAACTAAGAACAATATGGGACCTATCCACACCGATGCAAATTGGAACAATATGGGACCTATCCACACCGATGCAACTTGGAACAATATGGGACCTATCCACACCGATGCAACTTGGAACAATATGGGACCTATCCACACTATGCAACTGGGAACAATATGAGGCCTATTCACACTTATGCAACTGGAACCAATATGGTGCCTATTCACACCTTTGCAACTAAGAACAATATGGGACCTATCCACACCTATGCAACTGGGAACAATATGGGACCTATCCACACCGATGAAACTTGGAACAATATGGGACCTATCCACACCTATGCAACTGGGAACAATATGGGGCCTATTCATGCCTATGCAACTGGGACCAATATGTGGCCCATTCACGCCTATGCAACTGGGACCAATATGGGGCCTATTCACACCTATGCCACTAGAACCAATATGATGTCCATTCACACCTATAAAACAAGGACCAATTTGGGGCCTATTCACACCTATTCAACTGGGACCAATATGGGGCTTATTCACACCTATGCAACTGGGACCAATATGGGGCCTATCCACGCCTATGCAACTGGGACCAATATGGGGCCTATTCATGCCTATGCAACTGGAACCAATATGGGGCTTATCCACACCTATGCCACTAGGACCAATAAGGGGCCCATTTACACCTATAAAACAAGGACCAATATGGGGCCTATTCACACCTATTCAACTAGGTCCAATATGGGGCTTATTCACACCTATGCAACTGGGACCAATATGAGGCCCAATCACACCTATGCAACTGGGATCAATATGGGGTCTATCTACGCCTATGCAACTGGTACCAATATGGGGCCTATTCACACCTATAAAAGAAGGACCAATATGGGGCCTATTCACACCTATTCAACTAGGTCCAATATGGGGCTTATTCACACCTATGCAACTGGGACCAATATGAGGCCCAATCACACCTATGCAACTGGGACCAATATGGGGCCTATCCACGCCTATGCAACTGGTATCAATATGGGGCCTATTCACACGCCTATGCAACTGGGACCAATATGAGGCCCAATCACACCTATGCAACTGGGACCAATATGGGGCCTATCCACGCCTATGCAACTGGTATCAATATGAGGCCTATTCACGTCTATGCAACTGGGACAAATCTGGAGCCTATTCATGCCTATGCAACTGGGACCAATATGGGGCCCATTCACACCAATGCAACTGGGACCAATATGGGGCATATTCACACCTATGCCACTGGGACCAGTAGGGTGCCCATTCACACCTATACAACAAAGACCAATATGGGGCCTATTCATGCCTATGCATGGGGACCAATATGTGACCTTTCACATCTATGCAATGGGAATCAATGTGAGGCCCACTCACTCCTATGCAATGAGGATTAATGTGGGACCCACCCACACCTATTCAATGAGGAAAAATAGTAAGGCCAGGGCAGCAAAAACAGGTGATTGAGCTGTAGTTTTACAGTTCCTTGACAACCCCACTTTAACCTAACACAGAGAAGGTTGTACACAGTTGGCAGGCACAATGCTTTGGGACAAAAATGGTAACACCCCTGTTGTGTTCCATGGTCAGTACCATCTCCATTCAAGTGAGTGGGGCCATGCCACAACCGCTCTGCAACCACATGCAGTGCAAGTGGTTGTAGAATGGTGGTGACATATCACCTCCCAGCAGCCTGTTAACCACCCTCTGAAAAGTGGTCCAGCGTACATTGCTTTTCAGAGGGGTGGTAAGGGCTGCTGCCAGTGTACACAAGCCCTAAAGGTATTCCTGTGACCCAAAAGAAAAGTAATGCAAATGAAATGATCCACTCAGCTGTATTTGTTAAATTTGTAGGACAGAGTCTCACAATTATCAGTGAATGAGTGAGTTTACCATCAAATTGTCCCTGAACGTGTGTGTGCAAATGTATGGCAGCTGTGTTATCAGAAGGTGCGGAAAAGGAATTCTTACCTAAAGCAAGCGCATTCTCGGCTGCGTTAATGTAGGCGACGCTATTAAACAGAAAAAAAACTCCTCTGGCCTGGCCTACAAGAATGGGAATCACAGTATTGTTATATTATACACACACAAGTGTAATCAGTCAATAAATAATGCTTTTTTTGTTTGTTTTTTTTAACCACATAATATATACAAAAAACATAAAGGAAAATAATAAGCAATCAAAATCTTCCAACATGACAATAGCCCAAAGCACACAGGAAAAATGAGCACACAGTGGTTGAAGGAGAAAAAGGTGAATGTCCTTGCATGGCCTAGTAAGGAAATATGTTTTATTAACTGGCATTCATTTTGTATAATGCCTCCATTTCTAGATGTGATGAACAGTTAGTTTTGTTTTTGTAACAGTTAGTTTTGTTTTTGTAAAAAACGGAAACTCAGTTTCTCTCATCATATTTCTGAGAATACTTTCATTTCACTGTAAACGGAACCACCTTATATGGCATCCCTCAGTTCTGTTCTTTCACATAACTATATTGATAAGAATGGAATGTTTCATTGGTCATCCTAAGATTAAGCAACGCCTACTGAGTTCTGTATAACCGTTCTTGTTTTGCATTAAACTTTCAGAGATTTAGCTTGAACACTTCTGTGTTTGGAGATTTATTTCTCCCAGGCCTGAGGGTGAAAATAACGAGGACAGGGGCTACGGACATAGGCTGATTCCTATCAACTGGTGTCAGAAGTGGGATACGACCCCATGCCTCCAGGACTAGTCAGAGCCAAGACTTAAACCCCATTGAGAATCTGTGGAATGACTTGAAGACTGCAGTGCACAAACAGTTACCATCAAATTGAACTGAACTTGGTCAGTTCTGCAAAGATTGCAAAGTCTAGATGTGCAAAGTTAGTGGAGACATATCCCAACAGACTAAAGGCTGGAATCAAAGCAAAAGGGAGTTCAACAAAATACTGACACAAGGGGGTGATCCTTTTACCAACTCAGTGATTTTGTTTTTGAATTAAAAAAAAACAATTCTGACATGTTGCTGTTATATCTTTCACTTGGATGTCATAAGTTGCACTTCTAAAGTAAATACAGTGGATAAAACAAAAACTGTGTCTGTCTTTGTCAGGCTCAAAGCAACATAATGGGATTGTTTTAACCCCTTCGCCACCAGGTCTGTATGTTATATGGACCTGACAGCAGGGGGATTTATACACAAAGGAATATGTATAAAACTGACAGGCAGACTCCTGCCTGTCAGGTGGAAGCAGCTACGTTGCCACCCTAATGCTTCCACAGCCCCCATTACCGGGTAACCTCCACCCCGCTTTTGCCTTGCCCATCCCCATACGTCAAGGCGCCTATGTGTGAAAACGTTGATTGTGATACATGTTACATATCACCCTGCACACTAGAGTGACAGCAATAATTCTAGCACCTCCTCCACCGTAACGCTACACTGATGACCTGTAGGGGCCTTTGAATCTTCACTTATAGAAAATATAGGGTACTTAAGTTTGTCGCCATTTCGTAGGTGCACACAAATTTAAGGTTTGGCATGTTGGGTATCTAGTTACTCGCCGCAACCTCGTCTTTTTATATTTTATCTAAAATAAGGGTAATCTATTGCGTTTGTTTGCACTAAAATTCACTTTAGTGTGTTTCGCATTTACTAGGCATTTGTGGTAATATCGTGTGACATAAAAACTTAGAACTAACTTCACTTCTCTAGGGTGCCTGCTTTCAGAATATATATATATATATGTTTTGGGGTTTTGTGTACACGTCAGGCCTAAAATTATTTTTAAACATGTGTGTAATGTAGAATATTACTGGAAGGGCCATGGATGAGGGGGTTCCACCAGTCCTCCTGTAAGGGGCCCAGGCCAGCAAGGGGGCCCAGGCAGCCAGGTGAATAGGATGTGGGCAGGGAGGGTGATCGGCACAGTGGGGGGCAATTACAGCCAGCTGATAGCCGGCTTCTTTCTCCTCTCCCACTGGCTTTCAGCTGCAGTAGAAAGAGCCATACAGGGGATCAGTTCCACCAATTGCCCAACCCCCCCTCTCCGCCACCCCCATCACTCTCCCTGTGCACAATACATTTCCCCCAACTCTTTAGGCCCTCATCCTTGCAATGCTGCTGCCTTCCCTCCTCTCCTTCCCACCAGCATCTGCATGCACACTGCAATACACTGCAAGCTGCGATAGGCTTCTTCAGGATGGAGGAAGTGTCCAGTTACCAGCCCCTTCCTTTACTGAATGAACTCAATGAGTGATTCATTCATAACTGAAGCATAGTAAACTGTGTTTTTTGTTGGGGAAGGGGGCCCTGTCAGGTTGGCTTTTTGGGGCATCATGGTTTCTAACAGCAGCCCTGATTACTGGCAAAAATATACTGCTTAACCCCTTGGTGCCAGTGACTCCCGGCCCTTTAAAAGTTTCAGAAGCTGGGAGGCGGGACAGGGTTTTAGGGTCATGTGACCGCCGTGATTCGCTGTCACAGCGGTCACAAGATCGAGAAAGGTCCCAATCGAAAGAGGAGATCGGAACCTTTCCGTGAATACCAGACCTGTGCTGGGAGCGCGCAGGGTGCGCACTCTCAGCACATGTTTTTCTTAATTGCATGCAAATATGCGGCCGCTCGGCGTCAAGGCTCAGATGACGGGGGGCCGCACATTTGCGTGCGGCCAGCGCCAAGAGGTTAAAAAAAAACAAAAAGTAATGGTTGGCAAAGTACTTCTGTTTGGACGCATAACATCTGCAAAATGATCCCCTACTGTACATAAATTATATCTTCCACAACGTGCATAGCAGATGTGGAGGTGCACCGGTGAGGAGTTATGCAACTATCAAAATGTCTTGATGGGTGGATGTCAGTCTGGAGAAGTGAACATTGCTAGGGGGGGGCTGTATTTCTATGTAGACCATCCTAGGTAATACTTACAAAACTGAAATTAAAAAAATGAAAGGCCTGAGACAGTCGGGCTGGAGAAGAAAGTGCTAGATGATGCTGGATGTCCTCCAACCAAGAAATGAGACAGAGCTTTATCTGACTTGCTGCATTGTCTAATGAGCCATGTGAGAAGTTCATAGTATGCAGTGAGCAGGGGTGGACTGACAACTCATGGGGACCCCTGGGCAATAGGGAATCATGGAGCCCCTGTGTCTTCGCTCACACTCAAACCACACCCAAAATAGCCTATGAAAGGTACCAGGGGAATCTCATGGGGCCCCCTACTGACCCCGGGCCCTCGGGCGGTGCCCGAGTTCCCAAATGGCCGGTCCACCCCTGGCAGTGAGGAATGCCATTACAAAGGAGGAATCTGTACAATAGCACAAGAGTGAAGGAAAGGCTGGAGGTCCACTTTAAATGAGGGTGGGTTACCTTCCTCTGGGTCACCTAGGGAACCAGAATATGTAAAGTGTTTTTCTCCTATTTTTTGACAGATATAAAGTTCGTTGGTTAGAAGAAAGGGCAGCAGAGCTCCCACGTACCGCAATCAGGCGTTTATCGCTGACATCCACAGCGCACAGGTCACAGGGATCCTTTACTCGATGGACTTTCATCTGGAGGGAGAGTCAAAAGAAAGAAGAAAATAGGGAGCGGGCCATATAACATCCAAACTACACACAGCACAGGATCAGCCTGGAGATGTACAGGTCACCCAAAGGACCTTAGGCACCCTTCACATCTTGCAAAGCGGGAACGCGCATTCCCATTTGCGATTTTTTTCTTTGCGCAATTTACACGTGCTTCCGCATTCACTTGAATGGACTGCTTTGTATACATTTGTCATGGCGAAAAAAGCTCAAGGACCAAATTTTGTCCCTGAGCCAGGAGCGCTTGTTCATCGAAAAAATAAATGTTATGCAAACGTTTTGCCGCGTTTTCAGAGCGGACAGAATCGCGCTGATTCTGCCAGTGCTTCCAAGTCGCTAGGTGTGAACGAGGCCTCAAGTGTCTCTAAACCCAGAAACAAAAATGTTATATATTGCTGCTTACCAGTCCTTAGATGTGGTGCCTGCATTTTGTTTCCTTTTTAAGACCACTTCCTGTTATCTCACATATATATTCTTATTATTATAGCCAAATTTACCCCCCTAACTCCTCCCACAGTTTTTACACTACATAGACAGTAATATACCGAATCGTGCGGATTCTTCCGATTGGTGTGCTATTACTTTGTGGAACGTTTCGCCGAATGGTTCACGAAATATCAGCGTTTTTGTGGTGAAATTGGTCCCATAGGAATGAATGGCAGAATGTTCAAAACTAGAGTGGGAGCTGACAAAAGCTAGAGGGTGCGCTGAAAAATCAGGACATGATTTGTAAACTGCCATCACTCCCTCATTTTCAAGCCCACCTACACAAATCTTATATCACAACGTTCAGCTATCCCTGCTGCCACTACAAATGTCCACGGCTAAGCCATAGTCCTGATAGTTTTCACAATATGACCATTTGTTTGCAACTCACGCCGCCCATTGACATTCATTGAAACTCCACTCTAGCCACCTCAAATTTAAAGGCAATTTTTAAACTGCAACTGTGCCTTCATTTTTAATATTTCAGAGACACACTATGCATTAAAATGTAGGTCTGGGTCTTGTGATTCTCACAATATAAAGCTCTTTGGTGTAGGATTTATAATTTGTAAACTACAGCCGTTTGAAGATGGCAACCGCCAGTGAAGTGAGCAAGTTGGAGCAGTTTGTTTTTAACCGCTCTTCTCTGCCCTTGCTGTAGAGTGAGTTGCCATAGGAACCCAGGTGTGTGAGCAGCCAGCAAAGTGGAGGCAAGAACACTTCATACAATTTCCCAGGAAATTGTAGCTTTTCTAGTTTTGTTTGTATTCTCACGTGGTGATCCTGCTGTTAACACACTTTCTGTCTTAGACTACGTTCACACTAGCCTTGTTAGCAAGCGGCAGACAGGCGTTTGGGAAACGTTTTTTTACCGTTTCCCAAACGCCTGGGAAAATTCTGCACATTGCAGCACATGGTGCTGTTCAAACGGGAGCGTTAGCGTTGTGTTGCGTCGCGGCAAAACGGACGCCTCTGGTCAGGTCAGGAGGAGTTGAAGCCTCCTATTCAAGTCTATGGTGCCGCTCCGCAAACGCCCGGCCGGCGTTTGTGCTGCGGTTGCGATGCGGTTGCGGAGTGTTAACACCATTCAAACTTCATTATAGGCGTTTGTGGGGCGTTTTTAACACTTGGCAAACGCCTAGCAACTGCTGCTAAACCGCGCATGCAGCGTTTGCGGAACGTTAAAAACGCCCTGCAAACGCCGAACCAACGCTTGTCAATTGCTATAGGGGCGTTTGGCAAGAGTTGGAAAACCAGTCAAGTGTGAATGAGCCCTTAGGGTGACCGCACTTACAGCACTGTATCTATGTAACAATGGTTGTCACCCAGACTGGACTTCAAACATATACAAAAAAATCACCAGTGCCAAAAAAACGTGAAATAATTCCTAAGTAAATGCTGCTGCTCATTAGTGTAAACACCCAAAAAAATATATAAAACATCAAACAGCGCAAATAAAATAAAATACAATAGATATTAAATGAAAAAAATATACCAAAAAAACTAATATTGCATAAAAATTCAAAATAAAGAAAAAATTATAACCTATAAATAAACCCTTAAATGGTGTTTAACCGTTTCAATACCGGGCAATTTTACACCTTCCTGCCCAGGCCATTTTTCAGGTTTCAGCGCTCTCACACTTTGAATGACAATTGCGCGGTCATACAACACTGTACCCAAACTAAAATTTTATCATTTTCTTCACACAACTAGAGCTTTCTTTTGGTGGTATTTAATCATCGCTGGGGTTTTCATTTTTTGCTAAATTAACAAAAAAAAGACCAAAAATTTTGAAAAAAAAACACATTTTTCTTTGTTTCTGTTATAAAAGTTTGCAAATAAATAATTGTTCTTCATAAATTTAGGCCGAAATGTATTCTGCTACATGTCTTTGGTGAAAATAACCCAAATTAGGATGTATTATTTAGTTTGTAGGAAAGTTATAGAGTTCACAAACTATGGTATAGATCTGAATATTGATCAATCCTGAAGTACTGACAGCCAATCTAATTTCATGAGGTCCAAGAATGTCAGAACAGTACAGATATCCCCCAAATGTCAGAACAGTACAGATATCCCCCCAAATGTCAGGACAGTACAGATATCCCCCAAATGTCAGGACAGTACAGATATCCCCCAAATGTCAGAACAGTACAGATATCCCCCAAATGTCAGGACAGTACAGATATCCCCCAAATGTCAGGACAGTACAGATATCCCCCAAATGTCAGGACAGTACAGATATCCCCCAAATGTCAGAACAGTACAGATATCCCCCAAATGTCAGGACAGTACAGATATCCCCCAAATGTCAGGACAGTACAGATATCCTCCAAATGTCAGGACAGTACAGATATCCCCAAATGTCAGAACAGTACAGATATCCCCCAAATGTCAGGACAGTACAGATATCCTCCAAATGTCAGGACAGTACAGATATCCCCCCAAATGTCAGAACAGTACAGATATCCCCCAAATGTCAGAACAGTACAGATATCCCCCAAATGTCAGGACAGTACAGATATCCCCCAAATGTCAGAACAGTACAGATATCCCCCAAATGTCAGAACAGTACAGATATCCCCCAAATGTCAGAACAGTACAGATGTCCCCCAAATGTCAGGACAGTACAGATATCCCCCAAATGTCAGAACAGTACAGATATCCCCCTTTTTGCAAAGTAGACAGTCCGACATACTTCATAAGAGGCATGGCGAGTTTTTTGAAGTTGTATTTTTTTTGTCAGAGTTTTTCAGAAAATGAAAAAATAAAAAAAAATATGTTCACTATTTTTTTTTACATACTGTCATCAGTGCAGTACAGCGTCATCATATAACTGGCACGGTGGTGATCAGGGACACTGACTGGTGACAGTATGAAAAAAAAAAAATTTTTTTTTTATTATTTAAAATTTTTTATTACATTTTTTTTTCTTTTTTTTAAGATTTTTTTTTCATATTTCACTATGTCCAAAGTAGTACAATGTTACCATAGTAACATTGTACTACTTTGGGGAAGTGATCAGTTTTTTTTTTTGTTTTTTTTTTACACAATTTGCTTATAGCGCATGTGCGAGTGGCGCTGCGCTTCATGAATGGTCCTGTAGTCTTCTGGGACCTGTCACGTGTCCCAAAAGACTACAGGGAGAGAGGGAGGACACCTTCCGTTTCCGATCGCCTAGGTAATCAGACCGGAAGTGGGAGCAGGTACTTGTCAAATTCGGGTACCCGCTACCGCCCCCCAAAAGGTGCCAATCCTTAATGGGGAGCGGGGGAGCAGTCCTTAAAGCGGAACTTCCCCTTTTGGGTGGAGCTCCGCTTTAAGTATAATCCATGGAGTGAGTGACCCCCTTTGGTGGCACTGAGAAAGGGTTGTCACGAGATGCCCTCTGCCCACTAAACAATTAACATTGGCTGGAAATTACAGCTCACTAAGCTGGTAATTACAAAGCTCACCCTGACCTCACTGAAAGGTCGTTGATGTCAGAGAATGCCAGTGCACTGTGTGAAAGAAGCACCCACACACCTACAGCGGTACCCTGCATTTCTGAAGATCAGGGGGTGATCTGAGGTCTAAAATATTGCATTGAAGGTGATCTGAGGTCTGAAGGAGCATGTATTGGGGATGATCTGAGGTCTGACGAAGCACGTATTGGGTATGATCTGAGGTCTGACGGAGCACGTATTGGGGATGATCTGAGGTCTGAAGGAGCACGTATTGGGGATGATCTGAGGTCTGACGGAGCACGTATTGGGGATGATCTGAGGTCTGACGGAGCACGTATTGGGGATGATCTGGAGGTCTGACGAAGCACGTATTGGGGATGATCTGGAGGTCTGACGGAGCACGTATTGGGGATGATCTGGAGGTCTGACGGAGCACGTATTGGGGATGATCTGAGGTCTGACGGAGCACGTATTGGGGATGGTCTGGAGGTCTGACGGAGCACGCATTGGGGATGATCTGAGATCTGACGGATCACGTATTGGGGATGATCTGGAGGTCTGACGGAGCACGTATTGGGGATGATCTGGAGGTCTGACGGAGCACGTATTGGGGATGATCTGAGATCTGACGGATCACGTATTGGGGATGATCTGGAGGTCTGACGGAGCACGTATTGGGGATGACCTGGAGGTCTGACGGAGCACGTATTGGGGATGACCTGGAGGTCTGACGGAGCACGTATTGGGGATGACCTGGAGGTCTGACGGAGCACGTATTGGGGATGACCTGGAGGTCTGACGGAGCACGTATTGGGGATGACCTGGAGGTCTGACGGAGCACGTATTGGGGATGACCTGGAGGTCTGACGGAGCACGTATTGGGGATGACCTGGAGGTCTGACGGAGCACGTATTGGGGATGATCTGGAGGTCTGACGGAGCACGTATTGGGGATGATCTGGAGGTCTGACGGAGCACGTATTGGGGATGACCTGGAGGTCTGACGGAGCACGTATTGGGGATGACCTGGAGGTCTGACGGAGCACGTATTGGGGATGATCTGGAGGTCTGACGGAGCACGTATTGGGGATGATCTGGTGGTCTGACGGAGCACGTATTGGGGATGATCTGGAGGTCTGACGGAGCACGTATTGGGGATGATCTGGAGGTCTGACGGAGCATGTATTGGGGATGATCTGGAGGTCTGACGGAGCACGTATTGGGGATGATCTGGAGGTCTGACGGAGCACGTATTGGTGATGATCTGGAGGTCTGATGGAGCATGTATTGGGGATGATCTGGAGGTCTGACGGAGCACGTATTGGGGATGATCTGGAGGTCTGACGGAGCATGTATTGGGGATGATCTGGAGGTCTGATGGAGCACGTATTGGGGATGATCTGGAGGTCTGAAGTGTAAGCTTTGGGGTTGATCTGGAAGTCTGATGTGCATGCACTGGGGCTGATCTGAGCTATGAACTGCATGCATAGGATGGATAGCAGGGATGGGGCTGATAAATATGTAATTTACAGGCTCCTGCATTTTCTGAATGGACGGTATCGATCACTGACTCTGTCCATTCATAAATGAAGCATAGTAAACAGTGTGTACTATGCTTCAGTTTGTGAATGAGTAAGACGCTTTGTAAAGAACTATTCCTGTCAATTCATTCTGTGCAGCTAAGGCTACAGAGATATAAGGGCTGTGACTGTGCCCTCAATCTCCTTTCTCTGTCTCAAAGGTGAAACTTCAGAGGTCTGTTTAGACCCCGATATCTCACAAATGCTCCCTAACTGGGCTCCAAAAAAATAAAATGGTAAAAAATAATTAAAATAACAATAATAAAAAAACTTCTGACACTAATGGCATAACTACCACGGTTGCAAAGGTGACACTTGCGACTGGGCCCAGGCGTTCTGCCACCAGGATCAGAGGGAAGGGCCCCAGGCTTGCAGGGAAGGGCATCAGTCTGGGGTCCCTTCATGGTTTCTTGTACCAGAACCCTGAAGGTTTTAGTTATGCCTCTGGCATACATAGGGGCTGATATGAAGTGCATGCTTTGGTGCTGATCTGAAGTGCATGCGTTGGTGCTGATCTGAAGTGCATGCTTTGGTGCTGATATGAAGTGCATGCTTTGCTGCTGATCTGAAGTGCATGCTTTGCTGCTGATCTGAAGTGCATGCTTTGGTGCTGATATGAAGTGCATGCTTTGGTGCTGATATGAAGTGCATGCTTTGCTGCTGATCTGAAGTGCATGCTTTGGTGCTGATATGAAGTGCATGCTTTGGTGCTGATATGAAGTGCATGCTTTGTGCTGATCTGAAGTGCATGCTTTGGTGCTGATATGAAGTGCATGCTTTGCTGCTGATATGAAGTGCATGCTTTGGTGCTGATATGAAGTGCATGCTTTGCTGCTGATATGAAGTGCATGCTTTGGTGCTGATATGAAGTGCATGCTTTGCTGCTGATATGAAGTGCATGCTTTGGTGCTGATATGAAGTGCATGCTTTGGTGCTGCATATGAAGTGCATGCTTTGGTGCTGATCTGAAGTAAATGTATTAAAGCTGCATAGAGGTGTATGCTTTGTGCTGATCTGAAGTGCATGCTTTGGTGCTGATATGGGTGCATGCTTTGGTGCTGATATGAAGTGCATGCTTTGGTGCTGATCTGAAGTGCAAGCTTTGGTGCTGATCTGAAGTGCAAGCTTTGGTGCTGATCTGAAGTGCAAGCTTTGGTGCTGATCTGAAGTGCAAGCTTTGGTGCTGATATGAAGTGAATGTATTAGAGTTGCATAGAGGTGTATGCATTGGGGCTGATCTGAAGTGCAAGCATTGGGGCTGACCTGAAATCTGAAGGGCATACATAGGTGCTGATCTAAGGTCTGAAGTGCATACATAGGTGCTGATCTAAGATCTGAAGTACACACATAGGGGCTGATCTGAACTGCATGCATTTGGGTGGATCTGAAGTGCATTTATAGGAGTTGATCTGAAGTGCATGCATTTGGGCTGATCTGGGGTCTGAAGTGCATTCATCAGGGGCGTAACTACAGGGATAGCAGGGGTCGCAATTGCAACCCGTTCCCATGCTCCAGGAGGCCCGTGTGGCTCCCCTGAATACCTGGACAGAAGGGGCGGCACACAGGGGAACCATGCCCTGCCCCTCCATTTTCCTTCTGCAGCCGCTAAAAGCCTGCTTCTCCTCCTCTCTCTCCCACAGGCATTCTGCAACTGCAGGAGGAAAATGGGGGGGGGGGGATCAGCTCCTCTATATGCCACCCCTCCTATCCAGTAGGATTCACTGATGTGTGAAGGTGCAGGGACAGGGGCTGATTTCATTAGACAACCAGTGTGCTAATGTTTGGTTGGTTGTTGTCTAATACGTGTAAATGGACCCTATCTGGAAAAGGTTGCCAAGTCAAAACACCAAGTAACATTCAAAGCCAGCGAGTACACTAGGTTTGGACCCCTAACCCAAGCAGGAATCTGTTCTTTGTACAGCACAGTGATGAAGGGGCACACACAGTCATCATCTCATACCAGGAACGCTGCATCCAATACATATTTGGGTGTACGCTCTGTCCTGCCCGCGGGGCGGCTGCTGCTCCGACGTTGAATGTCTTGGATCTCCAACCTTCTCTTCTGATCCGAGGAAGCAGAACAGACAACCGTCCGAAAGTTATTCTCCTGCGGGGTCTTCTGTGAAACCAGCCAATGTCCAGCCCCTGAGGACACAAATATAACATCAGATTCTGCATCTGCTCAACTTCCACTGTAATATCTCACCACAGTCACATACTATTATTATTAATATGCATTTATATGGCGCTGACATATTCCATGGTGCTGTACAGAGAACACTGAGCCAGTCACGTCAGTCTGTCTATAGACACAGATATGTCAGTTTACTTTTCACAAAGTGAACAGATCACAGCGTACCTCCATGACTAGTCCGGAAAAGGTTTCTAGCAGGAAAACAGTTGCTCGTGTGTACACCTCCGGGGTCCATCCTATACAATGTGGTCGCTATATCTGTAAAGTGAAAGATTTAGGGGTGATTACGTTCCATCTTATCTATTTAAAGGGTAAGTGTACTGTAAAATCAAGTGCATTTTCCTATTTTCTCCCTTCTCCTGACCTAATCCCCCCCCCCCCCCCCACACACACACACACACACACTCTAAAAATGCACATATGGAACTGATGGCTGCAATTTTGCTGTTTGTTTCCAGTCCTAGCTGCACCTGCACATTACAGCTCCATAAATTTCTATAGAATCATGTCAGCCTCATAGACTTCTATAGGACCATCTCTGCCTCATGGACTTTCAGAGGACCATCTCAGCCCTACAGACTTCTAGAGGACCATTTCAGCTCCATAGATTTCTAGAGGACCATCTCCGCCCCATAGACCTCTAAAGGACCATCTCAGCCCCATAGACTTCTACAGGACCAACTCAGCCCATAAACTTCTGGAAGACCATCTCAGCCCCATAGACTTCTAGAGGACCATCTCTGCCTCATGGACTTTCAGAGGACCATCTCAGCCCTACAGACTTCTAGAGGACCATTTCAGCTCCATAGATTTCTAGAGGACCATCTCCGCCCCATAGACCTCTAAAGGACCATCTCAGCCCCATAGACTTCTACAGGACCACCTCAGCCCATAAACTTCTGGAAGACCATCTCAGCTCCATAGACTTCTACAGGACCACAGAAAGTCACTACTAATGTCTTTGGCATATCAGAGACTGTATGCACACTTCACCACAGCACTTTTGATGAACTCTCGCCGGCATTTTATTAATCCACAGACACCAAGTCATTTGTATTTATCATATTTTCATATATTAAGTTACCATTCATGTAGCGCTGCACTTTTATTCTTTTAACATTTACTGTGGAGGTTCCCGAGGTGCCTTTTTTGTTGCTAGCAGCTACCATATTTTATGCACTGCGCTCGATTTTTTATACATAAGTTTTATTCTACAGGACCATCTCAGCCCGATAGACTTCTGGAGGACCATCTCAGCTCCATAGACTTCTAGAGGACCATCTCAGCTCCATAGACTTCTAGAGGACCGTCTCAGCCCCATAGACTTCTAGAGGACCATCTCAGCCCCACAGATTTTCTAGAACACCACCGTCTCAGCCCATAGACTTCTAGAGGACCGTCTCAGCCCCATAGACTTCTGAAGGACCGTCTCAGCCCATAGACTTCTGAAGGACCGTCTAGCCCCATAGACATCTGGAGGACCATCTCAGCTCCATAGACTTCTGACAGGACCATCTCAGCCCCACAGACCTCTACAGGACCATCTCAGCCTGATAGACTTCTGGAGGACCATCTCAGCTCCATAGACTTCTAGAGGACCATCTCAGCCCCATAGAATTCTAGAGGACCGTCTCAGCCCCATAGACTTCTAGAGGACCGTCTCAGCCCCATAGATTTCTTCTGAAGGACCGTCTCAGCCCCATAGACTTCTAGAGGACCTTCTCAGCTCCATAGACTTCTGAAGGACCTTTGCAGCCCCATAGACTTCTGAAGGACCGTCTCAGCCCCATAGACTTCTAGAGGACCATCTCAGCCCCATAGACTTCTAGAGGACCATCTCAGCTCCATAGACTTCTAGAGGACCGTCTCAGCCCCATAGACTTCTAGAGGACCATCTCAGCCCCACAGATTTCTAGAACACCATCTCAGCTCGATTTTTTATACATAAGTTTTATTCTACAGGACCATCTCAGCTTCCGATAGACTTCTGGAGGACCATCTCAGCTCCATAGACTTCTAGAGGACCGTCTCAGCCCCATAGACTTCTGAAGGACCGTCTCAGCCCCATAGACTTCTAGAGGACCTTCTCAGCTCCATAGACTTCTGAAGAGGACCTTTGCAGCCCCATAGACTTCTAAGGACCGTCTCAGCCCCATAGACTTCTAGAGGACCATCTCAGCCCCATAGACTTCTAGAGGACCATCTCAGCCCCATAGACTTCTAGAGGCCCGTCTCAGCTCCATAGACTTCTAGAGGACCATCTCAGCTCCATAGACTTCTAAAGGACCATCTCAGCTCCATAGACTTCTAGAGGACCATCTCAGCTCCATAGACTTCTAAAGGACCGTCGCAGCCCCATAGACTTCTGAAGGACCGTCTCAGCCCCATAGACTTCTGAAGGACCGTCTCAGCCCCATAGACTTCTAGAGGACCTCTCAGCCCCATAGAGAGGACCGTCTCAGCCCCATAGACTTCTAGAGGACCATCCCAGCTCCATAGACTTCTAGACTTCTAGAGGACCATCTCAGCTCCATAGACTTCTAGAGGACCATCTCAGCTCCATAGACTTCTAGAGGACCATCTCAGCTCCATAGACTTCTAGAGGACCGTCTCAGCCCCATAGACTTCTGAAGGACCGTCTCAGCCCCATAGACTTCTGAAGGACCGTCTCAGCCCCCAAGACTTCTAGAGGACCGTCTCAGCCCCATAGACTTCTAGAGGACCATCCCAGCTCCATAGACTTCTAGAGGACCATCTCAGCTCCATAGACTTCTAGAGGACCATCCCAGCTCCATAGACTTCTAGAGGACCATCTCAGCTCCATAGACTTCTAAAGGACCGTCTCAGCCCATAGACTTCTGAAGGACCATCTCAGCCCCACAGACATATACACCTTAGGACCCCTATTGGTGTATTTGACCCCTATCTGTGCAGCTGTCCCTGTTTTAGGGCCCTTTAGCTCATGTGATCCTGTGACCCACTTTAGGGCCCCTATTAGTTCATGTGATTCACTTCAGGGCCCCGGTAGGTCACGTGTCCCACTTTAGGGCCCCCGTTAGTTCACATGCCCCCAGTACAGAAGGGTGAGGTCCAGGGGCGGACTGACCATTTGAAAACTCGGGCACTGCCCGAGGGCCCGGGGTCAGTAGGGGGCCCCATGAGATGCCCCGGTACCTTTTTCATAGGCTTGAGTATGGGCAAGGACACAGGGGCCCCATGATCCCCTATTGCCCGGGGGCCCCATGACTTGTCAGTCCACCCCTGTTGAGGTCAGGTATAATGGGTTCCCTCGGCCCCCTCAGTGCTCACCCCGCCATCATCCTTCCCGGATCCATCGTCTCCTAGCAACGACGGACGCTCTCACCTGACCCCTCCACCTCCCCTCCAAAACCCCGCCCTCAGCTCCACCCGTCCCCGTCTCCCTCCGCCCCTCTTCCTCTAGTGCCCGGACGCGGCGTGTTCCTCCGGCTGTGCGCGCGGCGAGCGGAGGAGTGGGCGGGGCCAGGGGCTTCGTGTTCACCAATCCGCGGGCGCCAGGTCAGGAGACAGCGGGGATGAGACAAGATGGCGGCGAGAGGCGGCAGGAACGGGCTTCTGGAGAAAGTAATGGGGGTCCGGGGATGGGAGGGGGCGGTGTGGGTGAGAGGGGGATGGGATGCACGGGGTGGGAGGGGATGACTGTTGCCCGTGGTAACCATTGTGTTCCTGGGGAGGGAGGGGGAACAGCTGCCTGGTTGCTATGGGTGACTGGAGACCCCAGGACTCCGGGAGGCCCTGACAGTGGGGGGAGCTCACACCTGGGAAATGATTGTCAGCTCTTTGGCCTAACCTGTGCTGGGCTTAAAGGGGCAGTGACCGCCATCGCTGTACACTGCGTGTGATTGGTCGATCCCACCATCTGAGACCACCGGAGAGTGTGAGGAGCGCCATCACCTGACAGCTGTCTGTACGTGTCACACCGGAGCCGCCTACCTCGCGTTGAGGTGCGTCGTGTATTCATCTGCCGGCGAGCCAATCACAGGAGTGCGTTCACTTTATTATTATTCCTATAAAACCCTCATTTGTTACGTTGTGTCATAGCGCCCTGCAAACCACGTGATGGGTGCCACTTTGGGGTCCGCTGTTGGTGCATGTAATCCCGCCTTAGGGCCCCCCCCCCGATAGGGCACATGGGCTCACTCTAGGGGCCCCCCGATAGGGCATGTGATCCCGCCTTAGGGCCCCCCCCCCCAATAGGGCACATGGGCTCACTCTAGGGGCCCCCGATAGGGCATGTGATCCCGCCTTAGGGCCCCCCCCCCCGATAGGGCACATGGGCTCACTCTAGGGCCCCCCGATAGGCATGCGATCCTGTCCCCCCGATAGAGCATATGCTCTCGCCTTAGGGCCCCCCCAATAGAGCATATGCTCTCGCCTTAGGGCCCCCCCAATAGAGCATATGCTCTCGCCTTAGGGCCCCCCCAATAGAGCATATGCTCTCGCCTTAGGGCCCCCCAAGTAGAGCATATGGTCTCGCCTTAGGAGCCCCCTCCAGTAGAGCATATGGTCTCTCGCCTTAGGGGCCCCCAATAGAGCATATGGTCTCGCCTTAGGAGCCCCCCCAATAGAGCATATGGTCTCGCCTTGGGGCCCCCCCAATAGAGCATATGGTCTCGCCTTAGGAGCCCCCCCCCCCCCCCCCCCCCCCAATAGAGCATATGGTCTCGCCTTAGGAGCCCCCCCCAATAGAGCATATGGTCTCGCCTTAGGGGCCCCCCCAATAAATCATATGGTCTCGCCTTAGGGGCCCCCCCCAATAAAGCATATGGTCTCGCTTTAGGGCCCCCCCAATAGAGCATATGGTCTCGACCCCCCCAATAGAGCATATGGCCTCGCTTTAGGGGCCCCCGATAGGATATATGGTCTTGCCTTAGGGCCCCCGATATAGCCTATGGCCTAACCTTAGGGGCCCCCCCTATAGGGCATGTGATCCTGCCTTAGGGGCCCCCCGATAGCGCATATGGTCTGACTGTAGGGACCCCCTGATAGAGCATGTTATCCCGCCTTAGGGGCCCCCCAATAGGGCATGTGATCTTAGGGGCCCCCAATAGAGCATATGGTCTCACCGTAGGGGCCCCCAGTTGGTGCGTGTGATCCCGCCTTATGGGCCCCCAGTTGGTGCGTGTGATCCCGCCTTAGGGCCCCCCCCTCCCCCAATAGGACATGAAATCTCGCTGTTGGGGCAGGTAATCCCTGCCATAGGGGCAAGTGATCTACGCCGTAGGGGCCCCTGGTTGGGGCAGGTGATCCCGCCTTAGGGGCTCCCAATATGGCATGTGATCCCGCTCTGGGGGCCCCTGTTGGTGCATGTGATTCCCCCCTTAGTACACATTGCACCAACACACACAGATGGCACTCGGTGACGAGGCATTTTGCAGGTTGACGTCCCCTGAATGGACTTTATCCCCCCGAAGCAGCAAACACAACCCATGTAAGCAGACAGGGACGTCTCACAAACGCCTGTAATGCCTGTCATGTGGTCGTGGCACATTACTGCATCATGCACATTGAGATACACGTGTTCTGACCCATGACAGAGCACACGTGGGAGCTGTACACAACCCCCGACACACAGCCACCTCTTCTCATGTATCTCAATGGGTGGCAGTACACAATGGCGAGGGGTTAGGACCTCACCGCCTGTCTTCACCTCATAAATGCCAGACCAACAGTGTGTCCGCATTTGGTGGTGGTGCTGCCCACTGAACGTGGCAGGGGGACACGGTTTACATCAGACGTAAAGCATGATAACTGCAGCGTGTGAGCAATCCTGTCCACTGCCTCTGCAGATGAACCCCTTTCTGCCCGCGTGGCTTCCCTTTAACCCCTCACCTACAGGGCACTTATACCCCCTTCCTGCCCAGACCAATTTCCAGCTTTCAGCGCTGTCACACTTTGAATGACAATTGCGCGGTCATGCAACATTGTACCCATATGAAATTTTTATAATTTTTTTGAGACAGATAGAGCTTTATTTTGGTGGTATTTAATTACCTCGGGGATTTTTATTTTTTGCTAAACAAACCAAAAACCACTGAAAATTTTGAAAAAAAAAGTTTTTTATTTTTTGTTATAACATTTTGTAAATAAGTGATTTTTCTCCTTCACTGATGGGCACTAATGAGGCGGCACTGATGGGCACTAATGAGGCGGCACTGATGGGCACTAATGAGGCGGCACTGATGGGCACTAATGAGGCGGCACTGATGGGCACTAATGAGGCGGCACTGATGAGGAGGCACTGGTAGGTGGCATTGACAGGCATCACTGGGCACTGTTGGGCGGCACTGTTGTGCGCTTGTAGGCACTGATATGTGGCATTGATGGACACTGACAGGTGGCACTGCTGGGGCTACACTGATGATCAGTGTACATATCCTCTCCGAGGAATGCCGATTACCGGCTCTCTCCTCTCCTCTCTGTGTGACAGCTCGTGAGGAGAGAAATGCCAATAAGCAGCATTTCCCTATTTACATGTGATCAGCTGTGATTGGACACAGCTGATCACATGACCGAGCCGACATCTTCGGCTCTTTCCATGATCGGTGATCTGCTGTGTCAGAAGAACGCAGCGCACCACCGATTGCGCGCTCCCTGAGCTGCACATGTGCGGTTAGAATGGGAGGACATCATATGACGTCCTTCCAGAACGAGAGAACCGCCTTGGGCCCGTCATTACCTTATATGGCGGGCGGGAGGCGGTTAAAAAGTTCTGAACGTCCAGAGAAGGATCTGTGACCACTGTGATTGGATGTCAAAGTGGTCACGTGATCAGGATCCAGTCCCATGGCTACCAATTAGTGTTTGATCGTGATCCCAGCACAGGAACAGCCACCCATTGGTGTATACATGCAGTGCGTGGGCATTAAAGCGCACCCTTTTGTCACTGCACTTATGTGGGATGGGGGCTGCAAGGGGGAGATTAAATGTAGCACAACTGCATGTATTTAACACCCCCCATCCCCCAGCTGCAAATCTAAAGCAGCCCACAGATTATACCGTTTTCTTTGCTTCCACCAGAGCTTGCAGGAGAGAAAATCACTCAATTCCCCCATCAACAGTCATTGTTGATGGGGGGAACCCCTTCTCCAGCGCCATTGTGTTCTACGGGCAGGGAGCCTTCCCGGCCAGCAGAACACAGTGATCACTGATAGCGGCTCTAGCCTACAGCAGTGATCGCATGAAAAAAACTGAAAGGCTGTCGTACTGAAGCTGATCGATGGATCGACATCCGTACAACCAGCCTGCCCATTGATGGATCGAATATATCCGTTCCTTCTGATGATTAAACCTCAAGCAGCTCAGCAGGAACGGACATATTCGACCCATCAGTGGGCAGGCTGGCTGTACTGAAGTCGATCCATCGATCAGCTTCAGTTATTTATGGCTGGTTAAACGCACAACCAGGGGCGGACTGACCATTTGGAAACTCGGGCACTTCCCGAGGGCCCGGGGTCAGTAGGGGGCCCCATGAGATGCCCCTGGTACCTTTTTCATAGGCTTTTTTGAGTTTGGACAAGGACACAGGGGCCCCAAGATCCCCTATTGCCCGGGGGCCCCATGAGTTGTCAGTCCGCCCCTGCGCACAACTGTAATATCAGTCTGTATATGAAGTAAAGCCTTCATGTTATAATCACTGTGGAATCTAAGGGGTTAATTCTCTGCATTGTGTAAACGTTGTTTGATCCTGTCTTTTCTGATCCTCCCCTTCTACTGTCCTCAATCTATCTGCTGATAGTACAGAGCTATAGGAGTCCACTCTGCACATGCTCAGTTTAGTGTGCATGGCTAGAGTTTTTTTTTTTTTTTTTCCCTTTGGGAGGGTGCATGTAATCAGCAGTGTCCGGACAGAGGGTCAGGGGTCATGCAGCCTCATAGGACAGTGAGAGGAGAATGAAAACTCCTCCTACAAGCTGTAATCGGTGCTCAGCCGGACACTGATAGAAGTCAAAGACTGCTATATACTGCTGATGAGAAAAGGTATTTAGCAGTTTATATTTACTAAAATAATTGTATTTCTATGTTCTGCGTGCTGTGGGAGCCCCTCCCCGTAACAATGTGTATAAGGCACGTGAAGTGGGCCGTCAGTGGATCTGCGTGCTGATGACAGGTCCTCTTGGTCATGTAGAGTGGACACGGACACAGCCTGCTCTCCTCTATGGGCTGTCGGGTGGAAACAGACCACCTGTGTCCATTTCCATCTGACTGTCATCCAATCTGGAACGGATCCCCATCGGTCTGTTTTTATTGGACGGGATCAGATGCAGGCGGGTGTAAATGTACAGGTGTCCGCTGACACCCACCACTCCATAAAGAGTAATGGAGCATCCAATCGGGTCCGGCAGGTGGACCCGATTGGTCCGCTCGTGTGAAGGGGCCCAAGTGGACACACAGCATACAATTGTAACAACAATCTGCAGATATTCTCACCATATGGAGCCGCATGTTCTCAGTCACTGGTACTCAGCCAATCATTTGCCGCCTCAGCATTCCCCACCCCACAGCTGCATGTAAACAAGGGGCCCCTTATGATTGGCCCAGTACAATGACGGCTTCCCAGCAGC